TGCCCTCTGAGAACACGGTAGTCACGTCTACATTTCCTAACGTCTTGCACTCTAAGTTTAGAAAGACATTGAAACGTCTTGCAACATGTTTTGTGGAGGACGGCCTCGCACTCGTCGGCGCTACATCTACGTTCGAAAGCGGAGGTGGATGCCGAAACACTTCTTTTTCTGATTCTGTATATATATTTTCTCTTTTCTTTTCCACCGCACAACATAGACAAGGCAGATATCGCCGTGTCCTCTCCGACTGGCAAGTCGACGTCCGACGAATGAGCAACATGACCCACCCCCCCTTCACTGCGTTCGCGCAACGGTGACGAAAGCATGTCCATGAGGACTCAACGATCGTCAATGCCAGTTGGTGCTGGCGAATTCACCCGAAGTGAAGAATCTGGAGACCCACACGCCGGTCTTGCGCCGGCATCAGAAGGCAAGTTGACGACGTCCTCGATGATGTCGTTAAGACGAAGACGCCGCACGACGTTGTCATTGGAAGATGGCACAGCCCGGTCTCTGAATTGGCGTCCGGGCATACCAGCAACACGGTGTGGATGATGCCCATGTTTCGATGGTGTGACAACAATGTCTGGGGACCGGCTCTCGCAGGAGTTCTCAGGAGCATCGGGCGCGGGGGTGTGAAAAGACTGCACAGATGGAAGCGAACTGTAGTAACAAATGTCCATCCCGCCCGCCATTGAATCACTAACATAGATGGGAACGACCTGTGAGAGGACATAACAAAACAAAAAAATCGAGAACAGAAAGACACATGAGAAGGGATGCCGGTCCCCCCTCACTACCCATTTCCGGAACTCCGGGCCACTGGTCCGATTCAGAGGGACCTGTGGATCCAGAACGCTGGAATGCGCCAACGAGAGAGAGAGAGAGAGAGAGAGAGAGAGAGAGAGAGAGAGAGAGAGAGAGAGAGAGAGAGNGAGAGAGAGAGAGAGAGAGAGAGAGAGAGAGAGAGAGAGAGAGAGAGAGAGAGAGAGAGAGAGAGAGGTGGCAAGACAGAACCCCTCCCTCCCCGCATCACCAAGGGGGGTCTGGCATTCCCGGAACGCCGGCCCCCCTCGCTGTGGGCGGGACGGGAACGCCGGATCGCTTTGTGTTCTGGCCATCGAGGGGGTGGGACGGACCCCCTTCCTCCCCCGCAGCACCAAGGGGGTCCAGCGTTCAGGGCTGTGGGCATTGAGGAGGCGGGACGGACCCCCTTCCTCCCCCGCAGCACCAAGGGGGTCCGGCATTCTGGGAACACCGGACCCCCTTGGTGCTGTGGCCATTGAGGGGGCGGGACGGACCCCCTTCCTCCCCTGCAGCACCAAGGGGGTCCAGTGTTCCGGGAACGCCGGACCCCCTTGGTGCTGTGGGCATCGAGGAGGTGGGACGGACCCCCTTCCTCCCCCATAGCACCAAGTGGGTCCGGCGTTCCGGGGACGCCGGACCCCCTTGGTGCTGTGGCCATCGAGGGGGCGGGACGAACCCCCTTCCTCCCCTGCAGCACCAAGGGGGTCCAGCGTTCCGGGAACGCCGGACCCCCTTGGTGCTGTGGGCATCGAGGGGGTGGGACGGACCCCCTTCCTCCCCCGCAGCACCAAGGGGGTCCGGCGTTCAGCGAACGCCGGACCTCCTTCGTGCTGTGGCCTTAGAGGAAGAGGGACGGACCCCCTTCCTCCCCCGCAGCACCAAGGGGGTCCACTATCCAGCGTTTCGGGAACGCCAGACCCCCTTGGTGCCGTGGCCATCGAGGGGGTGGGACGGACCCCCTCCCTACGCTGTAGCACCAAGGGGGTCCGGCGTTCCCGGAACGCTGGACCCCCTTGGTGCTGGCCGGGGGGGGGGGGGGGGGGGGGGGGGGGGGGGGGGTTGCATTCGTGGTGTCCGGCTCGCCCCTTCCTCCCCCGCAGCCCTGAGGGGATCCAGCGTTTCCGAAAAAAACGGGCTTCAGAGAGAGAGAGAGAGAGAGAGAGAGAGAGAGAGAGAGAGAGAGAGAGAGAGCTGCAATCGACTCCCTGCAGCTCACGGTCCGACCATGGCGACGAAAGGTGTGAACTGCGATCGCATAGGGGAGGGGGGTTGATCTCCCTCTCCCCTTTTTTTTTTTTCGAAATCTGTAGTTTGTGTTGCTTGCAAAATCGAAATGCTGTTCGGGAAAAGGTCGCGAATGCCACGATTGTAGTGTGATCGCATACGGGAGGGGGGTTCGTCTCCCTCTCCCCTTTTTTTTTTCCGAATTTCACTGTTTGTATTGCTTGCAAAACTGAAATTCCGTTCGGGAAAAGGTCACGAATGCCACGTTTGCAGTCAGATCGCATAGGGGAGGGGGGTTGATCTCCCTCTCCCCTTTTATTTTTCGCGAAATCTGTGGTTTGGATTGTTTGCAAAATCGAAATGCCCTTCGGGAAAAGGTCGCGAATGCCACGTTTGCAGTCTGATCGCATAGGGGAGGGGGGTTGATCTCCCTCTCCCTTTTTTTTTTTTTCGAAATATGTAGTTTGTGTTGCTTGCAAAATCGAAATGCCGTTCGGAAAAAGGTCGCGAATGTCACAATTGTAGTGTGATCGCATTGGGGAGGGGGGTTAATCTCCCTCTCCCCTTTTTTTTTTCGAATTCCACTGTTTGTATTGCTTGCAAAACTGAAATGCCCTTCGGAAAAAGGTCGCGAATGCCACGTTTGCAGTCTGATCGCATAGGGGAGGGGGGTCGATCTCCCTGTCCCTTTTTTTCTTTTTTTTTCGAAATCTGTAGTTTGTGTTGCTTGCAAAATCGAAATGCTGTTCGGGAAAAGGTCGCGAATGCCACGATTGTAGTGTGATCGCATTGGGGAGGGGGGTTGATCTCCCTCTCCTTTTTTTTTTTTCAAAATTTGTTGTTTGTATTGCTTGCAAAACTGAAATGCCCTTCGGGAAAAGGTCGCGAATGCCACGTTTGCAGTCTGATCACATAGGGGAGGGGGGTTGATCTCCCTCTCCCCTTTTTTTTTTTTTTGAAATCTGTAGTTTGTGTTGCTTGCAAAATCGAAATGCCGTTCGGGAAAAGGTCGCGAATGCCACAATTGTAGTGTGATTGCATAGGGGAGGGGGGTTGATCTCCCTCTCCCCTTTTTTTTTTCGAATTCCACTTTTTGTAGTGCTTGCAAAACTGAAATGCCCTTCTTGAAAAGGTCGCGAATGCCACGTTTGTTGTCTGATCGCATAGGGGAGGGGGGTTGATCTCCCTCTCGCCTTTTTTTTTGTGCGAAATTTGTGGTTTGTATTGCTTGCAAAATCGAAATGCCGTTCGGGAAAAGGTCGCGAATGCCACGTTCGCAATCTAATCGCATAGGGGAGGGGGTTTGATCTCCCTCTCCCCTTTTTTTTTCTGCGAAATCTGTGGTTTGTATTGCTTGCAAAATTGAAATGCCCTTCAGGAAAAGGTCGCGAATGCCACGTTTGCAGACTGATCGCATAGGGGAGGGGGGTTGATCTCCCTCTCCCCTTTTTTTTTTTTCGAAATTTGTAGTCTCTGTTGCTTGCAAAATTGAAATGCCGTTCGGGAAAAGGTCGCCAATGCCACCAGGGGGTCCGTCCCTTCCCCTCCCTCTCGCAGCACCCGGGGGCGGGTCCGGCGTTCCGGGAACACCGGACCCCCCCTCGGTGCTGATAGACGGCGGGGGAGGAACGGACCCCTGTACTCCCCCGCAGCACCGAAGGGGGTCCGGCGTTCCCGGAACGTCAGACCCCCCCCGTGCTGCGAGAGGGAGGGGAAGGGATGGACCCCCTTATTCTCCCG